ATTATTTAGTCTCTGGCCGTCTGCTTTTTACATAAGAAAAAAGTTAAAATCTAAAAATCTGGGTCGCTATAGTTTGTGCTGATTATTTTTAATAATTTTAAATAGAAATTATAAAGATAATTGATAATAATCAAGTAATACGCGTAATAAAAAGCATGAACTACTATTATAAAATATCATATAAAAAAAAAATCAAATTAAATTTGAAAAAAAATTTGTAACCTCAAAAAACCGTTCTGCTTACGGTATATACACACTCGGTAGTCTGGCTTGAGAACGGAACTTGGCGCCAGATTCTACCGAATCTGTTGATTAATTGTATAAATTTTGTATGTTTCCACGGACGCCTGAGGAAGGAGTAATAAATTCCGAAACGTTGCGTAAAATAAAAATCTCTTATTAACTTATTTCATGATCCTTAATCCTCGGATTACAACACATTAATTTAATTCAATGTCAGGATCGGAATATCTCTTATTATGATGAAAAAAATGAAACAAAATCAAAACCAAAAAATTTGATAAAAAAACCTTTAAAATATAAAAATGATTATTGCCATTGTCTTTATTGCTATGGACTTTCCTCAGAGTCATGGATTCAATGTAAAAATTTTAATAAATGATCTTATGGTTCTTGCGCAGGTATTGGCGAAGATTATTCTGACGAATATGTCTGTGATCATTACGAATAATCGTATGTTCATTAAATTATCTCGATGTGATTTCCTAATCTCGTCGAACATTTATATTTCATGTTTTATTCAAAGTTTAATTTTTGTTAACGTCTTAAAAACTTATTACAAATTTCATTGTTAAGCTGTTATTATTGTTAATTAGTTTTAAATAGATAATAATTAAAAATATAATTAATTTCTTTTATTGCAATCGGAGGCTTTAAACCTACGTACAAGAAAAAATATAGAAATGTTATTGAGCAATGAATTGGTTACATTAGTTTACATTGAAATCACAGGTTGAGTTTTCAAATAGAGCTTTCAAAATACGTAATATCTTGAACCAGACCTTTTTTTTTATATTTTTATTAAGTCAAAATTAGAAATATGAATTGCGTAAAGTAAGACATCCTTGGAGGAATTCAAATAAATTTTTGAGATTAGGTTTCTGTCTGGTGTAGAGGATACTGTAATCAATAGTTAATAATATAATTATTACCGTTTTAATTTTAAAGAACTGTGTTTTCAATTTTTTTATAAGCTATATTATTTTTTATTAGCTATATAATTCAACTTTTCATTAATTTTTTCAGTTTAATTAAATTCATTCTGTTTCATTGACCTGAAAAGGTCTAAAATAATGAATTCTTCAAATTTGTCATTTCTTTTCGAATGATCCATTATGCCCCACGTATCACATATTAGCCCGAAATATCATAAAAACCTCATAGAGGTCATAACGACGGAAAATGGAAAAAAAAAATTTACCTAATTTATGAGAGGGGCCGTTATGCCCGTTATGCCGGGGACCGTCGTGTACCACTCTCTCCTGCATGATTCAATTTTTTGTAAAATTTTTCAGTTCAATTAAATTTTTTCTAATTCATTTTACCACAAATTTATCACAATTAAAAAAAAAAAATTATTTTTCGTTACAATTTTTTTTTCGAGTGGTCCATTATGCCCCACATATTACATATTGGCCCAAAATATCATAAAAACATTATAGAAGTCATAACTTGACGGAAATTGAAAAAAAAAATTTTTACCTAATTTTTGAGGGGGGCCGTCGTGCCCCGGGGGGGCCTTCGTGCTCCAGGTTCCCCTATTTATAATGTTATTTTTACATTTTTCTTTTTTGCGTGAAGAAAATAATTTTGAAAAGATTCATTGTCTTAAATCAAGACAAAAAATTTTTAAATCAAGTTAAATTTAATTAAATCAAGAAAAATTTTTTAGTTTAAGATTTTTTTGACTCAAATTTTTACTTAATTCTTAAAATTTAATTTTTAAATTAATTTTTTATAAATAAAAAATTAATTATCCGTCAGATAATATTATATAATTACTGAAGATATATTCAAACTATTTATTTCAAATTTTTAAGATACTTCAGTGTATTACTCAACATACCGGTCTGCTTGGGAAAAGTTTTAACGACCTGTCGCCGCCTATCGGAAGGCACTGAACTAATACAAATAATTTAAGCTTAATAAATGATTTAAAAAGTTTTTTTTTTTAAGTATATAAGATAATTTATTTGTTTATTAATGAATATTACATGTTAAGTTAAATACTGCATACAAATACATCAAATTCAAAATTATACTTCTTGATGTTTTATATTTATTTACGGGTCCGATTGAAAGCTTCAGAAGTTAGTGCAACAATAAAACAACGCTTATCAAAGTTAATTCTTAGAAATAATTTTGATAAATATTACTTATAGAGTTTTGATTAACCAGGAGGATTAATGAACAATAAAGATTAGAATTCAGTTGTTACGTACTTAAGTATTTTTCTTAAAAGAAGAAACTTTAGTAATTTGTCTTTTTTTTTTAATTAAAAAAATATTTTTCTTCAGTTTTAGTCAAAAAATATGATTGAAAAATTTTTAGTGTTAGCTGACTCGTTTATTAATATTTAAATCTATATTAAATTGTAATTAGGTATTATAAATTTATACAATATAATCTAAGTTATTTTTTCAGAGTGTATACTTTAAAAATTCCAGATTTAATTTTGTACAAAGGATTAAGTAACGATTAATTATTATTTTCTTATTTTCATCATTACAAATTATAAATAAAAATTGTTGATTTTATAAAAATTGTTTATTCAGAATGAAAAATTATTTTAAATTGAAAAAAAAAAAAAAACAATTTTTTTTTTTGATACATAAAAAAATGAAAAAATTACAAATATTAAAAAAATAATTTCATTCTGTATAAACTAACAATATTTTAAGCATTAAGTACATAACAAATTAATTTTAAAAAGACGATAATAAAAATTACAAAACAAAAAATCAAATACACAAATATTAATAATTATCTGCTTCTGATTATCATGACTATCGCTCTCATCTGTAAAATACTATTTTTAAATAATATTTACTAGGATAAAATACTAATTAATTACACAAGCTAAAAATATTATCAGTTTGGTTTTCTTTTGAACAAATAATGTCAAAATTGAATTTTTAGTACCCTTAGATGTAATTATTATGGCACATTAAAAATTCTCGAGAAAAAAAAGCACAATACATCTGCCCTTTTGCGAGGCAATAAAACTAGTTTCTTAAAATATAAATATAAAAAAAACTTCCGTGGTGTTTTAAATTTTCTTCACGGAAATTTGAAAAATAATAACAAACTAGTTACAATTATTTTTCCATTCTTACATTGATCATTATAATGATAATAATAATAATAATTATTATTATTATTATTATTATATTTAATACCAATAAGTGTGTTGACTTAAATATTAACTCTCCTATACATAAAGTTGTTCGAAATAAAAATTACAGTTAATTTATAAATTATCAATATTAGAAAAATAATTAGTTTTCGTCAGGAATTTCCGGATTTTCACTATTAATTGTACTCGGACGACAATGATGAACGTAAGCGCTAATAGACAAGTCATCGTGTGTCTTTTCGCAACTGGGCTTTTGCTCTGAGCATTTACAGCTAGAAAATAAAAATATAAAAAAATAAATTTTTAAGTAAGGCGTCAGTCAATAAATTTATTAAATTGGCGAAAAATATGGTAATTATTTACAAGTGGAGTCCACCCTATTTTTTGGCTATATCTAGGTGAAAAATTAACATTTTTTATTTTTTTTTATTCTGCTTGTTTTTACGGCGTATTTATGATAAAAAATATCGTGAAAGAAAAAAATAATGATTTCGATAGCTTTTTTGCCTTCAAAAGTTGGAAAAAATTTTGGCTCTCATGTTTTTGAATAAAATTTATTTGATGTTTTTTATATATTTTTTTTGAAAAGTACATGAAAAAACGAATAATTAAAAAAAAGTTGAATAACACAATTTTCTAAAAAATTTATAAATTTGTTAAAATTGTGATAATCAACCTTTTTTTTTTAATTATTCATTTTTTATGTATTTTTCAAAAAAAAAAATATATTAATAAAATCAAATAGAAATTTCATTGAAAAAAATGAAAATTAAAATGGTCAACCCCATTTTTGGCCATATCTATGTGAAAAATTAACATTTTTTATTTTTTTTTATTCTGCTTATTTTTACGGCGTATTTATGATAAAAAATATCGTGAAAGAAAAAAATAATGATTTCGATAGCTTTTTTGCCTTCAAAAGTTGGAAAAAATTTTGGCTCTCATGTTTTTGGATAAAATTTCTATTTTATCTTTTTTTGATGTTTTTTATATATTTTTTTTTTAAAAAGTACATCAAAAAACGAACAATTTAAAAAAAAAATTGAATTTCACAATCTTCTAAAAAATTTATAAATTTTTTTGAAAATTTGTTAAAATTGTGATGATCAACTTTTTTAAATTGTTCATTTTTTTATGTATTTAAAAAAAATCAAATAGAAATTTAATTAAAAAAAATGGTCGACTCCACTTGTAAATAATTACCAAAAATACTTACGTATTCGTTATATAGTCGTTAACTCTCCGTGTAATGGGATGATAAGTAGCCCAAGCACATGGCTGTTTATCGCAAATAGTGTTCTTGGTTTTATTACTGACACTAATTTCAGTACCATGTTCAAAATTTAACTCTGGCGTGTCATCCAAAGCACCGCGGTCGAATTTTTCGGTTACCTCCTGCAATTAAAATCGACAGAACAATTACAATTAAAATTTTATAGAATAGCAATACATGATTCTAGAAATAAAGAGGAAACCGGAACGGTGATTTGGGTCGCTTCAGTTGCAATGATCGCATATTGTGTACATATGTGGCATTTGAATGAAATAGAAGCGACCATGACAGAGTAGCTGGATACACATACATATACATATGGGTATGTCGTACTATTGCAGAGTGTAATGCTGGTGTGAGTATGATACGAGCGAGTAATAAGAGTGTAGGCATGAATGCATTCGAATTCATGAATGAAAACCTCGGTACCGAGGGATCGTACGACTTCGGGATCAACTTTATCTGGTTCATGCTACTGACTTAAATATATGTAATCAGCTCTCACACATTTTATTTTATATACGATCATGAATCACTCGCATTTACAATTTTAAATTTATTTTTTTTACTTTCTTTTAATAATTTTTCCTCGCAATTAAACTTATTTTTTTTTTGACTTTCTTCTAATTATTTTTTCTCCCAATTAAATTTTTTTTTTTTATCAAAATTTTATTTAGTAATTAAATTGAAAATTAATTAAAGCGCCGAATAAATTTTTTACAGATAAATAATTAATTAAAATTTATTTTAACTTCAATTGAGAATTAAATCATTGCTTCTGCAATCGCTCGTAAAAATCTGATGCAATATTTATCACTTGTTTACTCAACAATTTTATTTGCAGTTAATTTTAATTTTAGAAATAATTTCAGCAATTTTTATTTGATTTTTAATTTTTTGTAAATTAACAGAGTGAAAAAAAATTTTTATAAAATTAATTGGCTTAAAAAAAATTAAAAAAAAAAAAAAAAACTAAAATATTTAATTAAATAAAAATTAAATAGTACACACCCCAGTAATAGCCGCACTGTCAATAATAGTAAGGTAACAAAAGGCAGCTACAATAGTGACAACACGAAACTTCAATAATGCCATTTTTTATTTTTTACAAGCACTGACGATGTAATTAAAATCACCTTGTAATAAAAATATTATTTTCACACTTGCGCGGTTTTATTTAAAAAGTTTCACCTGACACAGGACTTTAATGTTGAATTTTTACCGAAAAAAATACCCGCTCAGGGTAAATTGCAGTAACACAACAATTAATAAGAGTATTATTTAATAGCAAAAGATAAATCTAAAAGTAAATCACAAGAAAAAAAAATTCTGGTGGCTGGAAATATTTGACCGCTTATTCTACCGGCTTTAAGCTTTAAACATAGACCGTCTTCTCGTTTAGATGAGAGTGAGGATGCTGGAGGATGCTTTCGAGTCGCCGTGGGTTTATATAGGCTGAGGCTAGCGTGGCCACTCGGTGGGGGTAAGACTAAGCTAGAACTTATAATAATATATGTAACAATTTAAAGTTTAAAAGTTATTTGAGCAAGTGAGCAAATGAACACATCCACAGCATCGGAGAGTGGGGTTCAAACGTTGTTAATTCGACGATATACCTACGTGCTGTTTTTTAGTTGTATTGCGCGAGTTCTTGTTAATGGACTTTTATCTGCTGCGAAGAAATTTTATCAAAAGATTCACTTTTTGGGGCATACTAATTTATATTGTGCAAGTAAGGGATGACCTTTGATAAAGTGTCACTTCATCACGGCAAGATTATAATTATTCATTCACAAAAATATTTATTTATCATTACCAATACTCATTCAGTGTACCAAATATTCAAAATTATTTTACTCGGTGTTAATGATTAAAAATGAATCATTTATTCAATAAAAATAATTAATAAATGTATTGAAAAAAAAAAGTTAATTCTTATTGGAAAGTATATTTTTAAAATTTGTAAAATAAGAAATTTCTAGCAACCTTGCAGTCACTATGTGACTGCCGCGACTTGTGAACTATAAATAAATAAAATTTTGCTTTCTTAAATAATGACTTTTGTTAAATTCCACTGTACTTTCTTAAATATTGACGCTTTTGAAGATATAAGCGCATCATGATGATACACTCATCAATAGCTTTCATTTGAGTATCCACATGCATTTTTGATATATTTTTCATATATACATATATATAATATATATAAATATATGAAAAATTGATGTGGGTACTCAAATGAAAGGTCTCGATGAGTGTAATGTCGGGGTGAGCTTATATTTTTGAAAATGTCAATAGTTCACAAGATATTTGTTAAAATGCCCTGTACTTTCTTAACTATTGATGTTTTTAAAGATATAAGCGCATCACGATGTTACACTCATCAAGAGTTTTCATTTGAGTACCCACATGTATTTTGATATATTTTTCATATATTCATATATATAAATATACAAAATATATGAAAAATTGATGTGGGTACTCAAATGAAAGATCTCGATAAATGTAACAACCGGATGAGCTTATATCTTTAAAAATGTCAATAGTTCACAAGATACAAGGTCATTTCTTAATTATGTATCTAGAGATAGAGCATTTTCGAATGCAGCCTAAATACTTATTATAATAAATTGACTATCGGTGAGAATGATATGAAACCTTGAAAAGGCATAAATTCAAATTAAAACCTTTGCAATGACACTAAATTTCACTAAAAAAAACCGATTTTATCATATTACTATCCTGGACACAAAATTTTTCTTATTCTCTTAATAATATAGATAATATATTTTTTCCTTCAATTCGAAGTAATTATTTCCTCACAAATCAAGCGTGTAAAAGATGAGATATATTTCACAATCTCTATAAAATTTTTAAATTAATCACTGATATATAATTTTTTTTCAATTGGAAAAACCCGCTTCAAAAAAGAACAATAATAAATAATAATTAATATTTAAAACTCAAACAATAACTCAAGATTTTAAAATTGATTTTTGATACTTATTATTCGACTTTTCAATTATATTAATTAATTAATTAATTAATTATTGGCTTTAAAAAAATTAATTTGAGCGCAAAACTCGCGATTTTAATCAAGGGTAAAATTAAAAATATTTAAATAAAATTTTTTAAAGTAAATTTTAATAAAAATGAAAAATAAACCTTATTAAAAATTTTTTATTTCAATTAATCAGAAATAAAGATTCATTATATTATAAGCATTAAAGTTTCTTTCACGAAACAACACGGATCTTATTAAATTTATAACACAAACATAGCAAGAACGATGGGAAGGTTATGGGGTTATCATGAGGGTTTTGGTCTTCTAGAAATTTAATTAAACGCATATACTCAACCCACTGCAATAAATTATAAAAGAAACTTCCATAGCTCAATTAACGACAATGCCCATTACATATATGAGGAAATTATTATTGTTAATATTTATCGATTATTCCTCATATATCATGTGTTGATAATAAACTTATCATGCAACAAATTAAGACGTAGTAAAATACATAAAAAATAATACTTATTTGTCGATAATGTTTACTTGATCAAACGTCGCTGCAACGCCTACATCAATTTTAAAGCCTTAATGTACAATAATATAATAATATAAACAGTTTAAAGATAATTGTGAATGATGTCAATTGAATTGGAGGCCCGACTTGCGTTCAGCCAATCCGCGACCAGAGATCGCAATGACGTCAAATCTCGTCATGTCAAAATACCTTTTTTTTATTATTTATCTTCTGCAGTTTGTTTTAATTTGCTTTCATTTGCCAAACAATTATTGATGCGCTGCAAATATATTCATTTAAATTATATATATATATGTATATTTATTGGTTCAATATAATTTGTTTTGCGGCCTTGTTCTCGAAGAATGTTGACGCAGCTATCCACTCCCTGTAAAATCACGACCTCATTCGCTACTGTCATTTTTAATCATACTATTATTATTTATTTTTTTTTTAAATCCCTACTTTATTTTTTATCCATTCATTTTTCGTAAAATTCTTTCATCTCAGTTAAATGCGAAGATAAAAGCCAGAGATTTTACTTCATTCCTCCCTCATTCACATGCGATCAATTTTAAAAGCTGAGTGAAAAAAACTTCAGTACAGTTTCTCTAAAATGAAACATCACTTTACAAATTTAAACTCTGTATTTTAATTATTATTATTATTATTATTATTATTTTAAGTCTTTCAGTTTTGTAGCAAAGTGTAAAATAATTGAACTTGGCGGAATGCCATCAGACTGAAAAATCTACAATTATTCCCCCTCCAATAATGTATTTCAAATTTTTTAATGTTAAAGAGTAAACTGCGGAAGAATTAAATGTTACTATTTTTTTTTTTTTGATCAATTAATAATTAATTCAATAAATTCTTTGCAATAAATATTGACTGTAGTAAATTGCGTCAGCAACTTTTGGATAATCACTGCGCAGTAGTATAGATCAATTTATCGATCTTAGTCGAGCCGCGATCTCTTCAACTTTAGCAAATTTAATTTTTTACACTATGTGTAGGGATCAATTTAATAAAATTTTTATTAAAATTAATGAAGGAAAAAAAGCTTGTACTTAAATTATTTAAATTAATAAAATTTAATTTTTGTACAAAATAAATTTGATAGTAAAATTATAGACAAGAATTTTTTTTAATTAACAATTTAATATATTAATTTATTGGTAAAAAAAATGTTTATTTTTTTTTTTATTGTAATGAAAATCGCTACGCGACTGCCGAGATTTACGGATTATGAATAAAAATACTTAAATGATTTTTTAGGTAGATTTCATAGAAATCAATCTTTTGCATTGATCCTCATGTCGAAATTTACTCGGAATTTTGTCGTAATATCTCTTAACTAGTCGAGTAAAGCTCAAAAATAACTTTAGTTAAAAAATTTATATATGTATGTTTATATATATTTATATATGTAATATAACGCGGAATGTTGCCGCGATTGTGTCTACAATTCTTGACGGATCTAGATGAAATTTGTTACACATATTCTTTGGATAATAACCTTGAATGAGTTCGAAGATAAGCGAAATCCTTCAATAAGTTTAGAAATGGCAGCTCTTTAAAATTATCAAAATAGTGAAAATCACATTTTCGCACGCATAAAAATTATTTGTTAGGACAACAAAAACAGGGATAACAAAAAAATATACATATGTGATAACAAATAAATTTACTTACAATAACAAATCAACTAGTTCATTTAACAAGATCAACTAAGTTGCAATAACAAATGAGCTTTTACTGCTCTGAAGTTAATTTTGTTGTCTTAACAAAATCGCTTTGTTATTATAATAAATTTTTTTGTTGCAATAACAAAATAGTTTTCTTATCAATAAAATTTGTTACTTGAACAAGCTATTCCGTTGCTTTAACAAATCGATTTGTTACTTCAACAAAACTATTTTTTTTTAAATAATTGAAAGATTTGGTTACAATAACAAAATAATTAACACAACATATTATTTGTTATCCCTATATCAACATAACAATTTGTTGTCACAACTTATTTTTTGTTGCTCTAACAAAAAATTTTTCTGCGTGCGGTGACTTCATTGATGTATAACTTTTGATTGAAAAGAGATGGCTAATTTTTGATAAATTCGTGTGAAAGATCATGAAATTACCTTCAATTTGGCGTATATGACATTGACATTTTGACCATTTTTAGTTATTTTATCAAAGTTAAGAGTTCTATTGAACCATTTTCAGGCAATGTGTATAGTACAACCGACTTATGAATGTTATTCTGTCGAGAATTCTCAACAGATCCTTATGAAATGTAGTATGTAGATTCCTAGGACAATTAGCTTGCATGAGCCCTAAAATCAGCGAAATACTTCGATTAGTTCAGAAATAGTAGCTCTTCGAAATGATCAAAATAGTAACTGTAAAAATTACGTTTTTGACGACTTCATTTATGTATAACTTTTAATAGCAAAAAGATAGCTGATTTTTTATTAATTCATGTGAAAGCTTATAAAATTCCTTCTAATTTGACGTATATAACGTTAACTTTTTGACAATTATTAGTTATTTTATCGAAGTTAAAAG